CAACAAACTTTAGTCCACTGGTGTTTCACTTGCTGGTTTCGTAGTTCAATGTTAGCCTACGGCGATGTGTATTTCACAGCTCTTGCTTAGCCGCGCCGAACTCGCTCTTGAATTTGGCGTGTCGCCAGCGCCGCGCATGGGACCAGGAGACGGCTCTGCGATTTCAAACTCAAAAAGTCTCTCTCCCTTTTGTGTATGTATATACATATATGCATGTGCTCATGCATTGCACTGACCGTAGTTGCTTGTTTCGACGAGGCCACCGCGCCTTCTTCGTTGCGCTTTTTGCAGCTGTGCTTGTGGTCCTTGCGCCCGGGGCGAGGCCACCCAAAAACGGAATAGGAAGCTGAAGCGTGAGATTTAAGATAGTTTTTAGGAGATGTGAGGAGGCGCCATGGACGCTTGTTTGTGTTTCTTGCGTCAGGCCTGCCACAGTGTGCAACATACGCTTGTTAAGCCAACATTTGGTCTTGGGTCCGAGTGGTGGATTTCGGATGTTCGATGGGTTTGCATAACATCTGCAAAAAAATCTGGCGTCCTAAACTTCTAAACTTCGAGGTTTGGGTTTCAAATTCCAACAGAATCTTGAAATTGATGGTAACAATTACATACATACATCCCGCACAGCTTGTCTCGCAAAGTGGGCACCATGCACCTTGGGTCATTGTTTTTTTGAGCCAGTGCTAGTGCCTTCGAGACCCCATGGCCCATGGTGACCTGATGTGACCTGTGAGGTCTTTCTCAGTCCTCAGCCCAGCTTCCGACCAGGCCACTGGCTTTCCTGTCGCCAGCTGCGCCAGGCCCTTGCCGGATATGGATTTGCACAGCAAAGGGACACGTCCCTGGCCCCCCAGAAGCCACAGCCGCGTTACAATCCCAAGACTCTGCTGTGAACAGTTGCGGCCACGTGGGTGAGCTGCTGACATTGTGTGCACCACGGGTGTCGTGGCAGGTCAGGGTACGAACCCGCGCCTTTCACGGGCGACATCAGGCCTGGAGAAAGTAAGCTTGCACGTCGGCGTTAAAAGGGGCGATTGGTGGGCAGATTCACGTGGCTGGGTTATGCGGTGTTTGCATGCTGCGAGAACTGAAAGGGCTGTTCCAAGGAGAGTTGAAGTAGAAGTGCAATGCATCGTGTGCCTGGTCCTCGCTGCAACCTTTCCCTCCTCGGGTTGCCGAAGCTGTCGAATCCACACCTTGAAGCTTCAGGGGATAGCGTGTCTTTTTCTGGTAGATCTCACTCCCTTGACGCCGAATCGCGTTCTTGTTAATACCGTTTCTTTTGCAGCTTTTTCCCCAAATCATCCAGTCGGAGATTCTGAATGCTGGAGCAATTCATACCAAGAGTCTGTCTCCAGTCACGAGTCAGGGGTTTCTACAAACCCCAACTGCCCCCAAAGCGTCCACACCCGAAGCTGTCACATGCCGCTACTGTGTTTTTCTTTCTCGCAAGCCCACATCCAGGTCCAGCCTTCGCAATCGGGGCACACAAAGGGTACACGTCAGCCTTGGCCGTGGCGGCAGGTTGCCTTGCTCTGGGCAGGCGGGAAAAGCCTCAAGTATTCTGTCTTCAGTCTTCTGTGTTGATTCTGCCGTTCTCCGGAGCCAGGGTGCGGGGCTGCGGGTTGGCCTTCTCAGTCGTGCCGTTTTGGTCTATCTTTGCTCATGGTTCGTCATAATGCTAAACATAAATAACGCTGATGATGCAGGGTTCACGCGTTCTGTTGGGAGTTCCGGCTGTTGCATGTAGCGTGTTGCCTGCGTAGCACGTTGGGCAGCAACGCTCCCACTTAGTCAATGACTTTCACATCTTGGGATAAAGGCGGACGACTCATCAGCCAGTTATGCGGTTTCCAAAGCGGGTGAGCGCACAGCCGACATGAATTCTGCAAGCCAAAGAGGCAGCTTTCTCGTGGGGTCCGAGTGCAGCGGCGTGCAGAGGCGGAAGACTGCAGAGATTCGGAGGGCTTTCATCGGTGGCTTTGGATTTGGACTGAAAGCTGGCATTCATTAACGAATTTGTTGTTGTTTGGACTTATTTGGCTGTGCAAGTCTACAGCAGCTTATGTACGATGTTTGATATGTTTACGTCTGTCTGTATGCATGTATCGGCTTGGCCTGCAGACCCTGCAATTGTCAGGAGGCGGAGCCGCACTTGGAGCCCTCTGAGTGCCTCATGCGGCAGTTTTCACGCTTTGTTCGGAGACACATGGGGGTTAGGGGTTTAAGTTGCAGGCAAGTTAGGGTTACCCTCGAACTCCCGCCACAGCTCGAAGTCCATGCGCTCGCGCTGAGTTGTGTAGCTTTGGTGAGAGCAACATCCCGATTCTGCATGCTGTGGTGGAATGCCGGCATGAAGAATCGGCAAACTTGAGGCTAAGTTCTAACAGAGTTAGTCAGTTAGTCTAGACTTTCCCGACAGTCACACGGAAATTGCTCATCATTGGCCTTCCACCTGGTCGTTTCTTAGACAGCTTAAGCACCGGTTCAGGAAGTCCATCGAGACAATGATGAAGTTCTCCAATCAGTACGCCAAGGCTGGGGCGGCAGAGTCTAGGCTTGGCGTTGTTCCCCGCTCCGAGGTATCTGCAGGGCTCCGGTTCTGCAAGAATCGACCCTTGAGCAGATCAAGCAGAGTCACTCCAGCAGTTTTTGAGGCTTTGATCCTCAGCCAACTTGTAGGCATGAGTCATGAGTACCTAATGACTGCCACTTACGAAAAAGCCTTGCGCCTCTTTCCTTGTTGTAGCCTCTGAAACCGGCATGCATGTCGTTGAGGGTCACCCCTGAGCAGCAACTACATATGACCTGCTGCTTCCACAGTTGTTTGCTGCCCTCACAGGTCACGGGCACGAAGTACTGTGAGGATAAGAGCGTTCCGGCCGTGGTCATTGTCGGACTGGCGTTGCACAAGGAGCTGCATTCAAGCTTTGTACTTTCAACTGGGATGGCTGGCTTGCCCGAAGCCCCAGACAAGTGGTATTCGTAGCTGGGGCCTCCCTTTGTGCCAACTGGAGAAAGGTGCAGTCTTGTGTTGTTCCCATGTCCTGGCGTGAGTCGGTGCCAGCAGATTCCCCACAAATCTGGGCAGAGATCGCAAGTGCCGGTTGCTGGTCTGAAAGGTTTGTGAAGGCTGAGGATTGTAGCCCCAAAAGACTCATCTGTGTGAGGACGAGATGCAGGACATGACAACAGACCGACTCAGCCCCTCGTGCCATCGGGCAAGAACTCCTGAAGATAGGATTTGAAACCCAGCGCCGAACTCTGGCGAACCGCGAATGTCGGTCATGCCATGCCTTGAACCCTTCGACACCCTTCCGAGAACATGTTTAGGAGACTTTGGGGGCTCCATTATGCCCGTGCCGGCACTATGAGGACAAGGAGAAAGAGGCCCGGCCAGCGGTGTTCATGGGGTAACTTGTGTGTCTTGCTGCTGCCCATGCCGACTTCAGTGTGAACACTCCCGTATCAGGGCACAGGGAGTTGCTTCCAGGTTGCAGCCGAACCCAGATGCTGCCGGACAGTCTTTTGTATCGGCTCCAATGTCCAGAAACATCCTAAGACGAGTGCTATCCAGGCTATCCAATGCTGTCTAGAAGATCGAGGTCTAGAAGTCTAGGATTGAATTTCGCTCGTTTTCAGTGTTTGTAAGGGTCAGGGACGGTAAAGCTACTCTTTTCTTCCTTTTCTTGGCCAAAACTGCATGCAGCCAGTTGGTGAGGGCTTGCGCCTTGCGACCCCCGAGTGCCAAGAACAAGACAACCTCCTGCTAGAATCCGCTATACGGCTGCATGCATCGCCAGCTTTGAAGACAACGGAGTTTTCGGTGGCCGTTGCCACATGCAGATTTCAGAACTAAACAGAGGACAATCCGCTTTGTCTCCAGGTGAAGGATGGGTATTGGAACTGTCCATGCGTGAGTGGCTGAGTTGTGGAGCAGTGCTCGCCGGACATAGATTTGGGTTCGGTGTTTAGCTCGGGGGTTCCTGCTTGTCAGAACAACATGTTCAGGGTTATGTGCCAAGTTCTGGGGGTCTTGAGTTGCAATCAAGTTCAGCAATCGCACCAAATTTGCATCCCAAGGGCTCTCGACGCTCAACCCCATTGCGCCCAGGTTCCAATGCGTGAAAGGCACGAGTGTCACTGCATGCTCTTCCTGAAGGACGACAATCCATTCGCGCAAAGGGCCAAGGTTTTGACGGACAGGGGGCGGAGTTCCTGAAGCGCGACGGGCTGCTGTGAAGTGTGTGGGCTTCGGCTAAGATAAGCAGCTCCCTTCCAGCTTGCCCACTCAGTCTCCGGCGTCTGCGGTCAGGTCTGAGTGCTCCAATATCGATCTGGAGGAGATCATGAAGCTGAAGGATGGTTAGAGCGCTGATGAAAGGTTTCTCTGCTTCGGGAGGTGTTTCATGGCAGTCACAGTAGGGTTACGGTGTAAGGGCCTCCATCTCTGAACCAGGACTCCGTAGTTGCGGTGCTACTCTGGAAGCCACCCGAAGCCATGTTGTGATCGTTTGGTCGACTACAAGTTTCTGCTGCAATTTTCAAGGGAGGGCCATGATTCGGCTCGTTGTTACAGCTGGTTCCACTAGTTTCGTCCTGGGAATCGCCTGTTTGGGATGTTGGCAGGGCCGCGGCCTTTGAATTTTCTGCTGAATGTCCACTCCCGGCAGACCAACGGCAGAAGTCTGTGAATAGCACAGCAACTCGCGAGTGGTTGCGAGGAGTAAGCCTTGGCTTTAAGCGAGCTTTTGTCATGTTATATATGACAATGAGCCAACCATTAAAGACCCCGTAGTCATTTGCGGCCAAGCTGAAGTCAGAAGCTGCACATGACCCGGGAAAAAGTAAGCACAGTTTGCCTGGCGCTCTCTCCAACAACTCGGCACCGAGTTTGAGAGAAATTGAAATGAAACGTGCCCTACAGAGCTGGCAATACCCGTATCTTGCCACTCGACTCTCGGGAGCAGCAGCTTCAAGTCGGAGTTGAAGTCTGGACAGGAATTCTAGCGTCTTACCCCAACCAGATGTCATTGCGAATTTGCCAAACACCTGCCCAGCAAAAGAGAGGCTTCCTCTGTAGGCGGCACCTCTCTAGTTCGGAGCAAAATCCAATGTCTGGTGCAGGCTGCCACATGCCACCGTCCGCACTTCATCCAATGACTCACTTGGCGAACGTCCCGATAGTGCATGCGTGAAGATGTGCAAAATAAGCCTGGCTTTAACCACCATAGACGCTGCCCTCGAGCCAGCTGCCCCTGGGAGTAGAGGGCCACCGGCGGCTGAGCAAAAAGGGTGGTGCTTCGGCATTTCGAGATCGTGGTCGTTCCTTGAAGCTAACCCTGATGGGACTCATTTGAGGCCGGTCATGTCCTGTAAAGCATGTCAGGAGAACCTTCCGCCCTGCCCTGCTCTTTCGGTCACAACGACAAACGGTGCTGAAGTAAGGTGCAGCTGCAGAAGAAACTTGGTCCTTACCTCGCGTTATTCAGGTTTGCTGTCCAGGTCTTCTGTTATTATGAGACACACCTCGGAGACGGCACGTAGCACAACACTGCCGGAAGAAGGCCTACTCTCCTCGTTCGGGAAATCAGAATGTACAGGAGAAAGAAGCTCGTCACAGGTTGCCAGTGTTTCTGTCGTGTCGATACAGGCCCAGATTGACGACAAAGATTGCCTCGTCATTGGTGCGGCTGGCGAGATGTGGGAACCGCTGGAGATTGCACGCGTTCTGCAAGTCATGTGAAGGTTCGAGCTGGAGGTGTTGGCACGCTGGCGAAAGTTTTGAGACATCGGCTCGAGCAACACAAGTCCGTCGCACCGACAGAAAGAGATGCTCAAGTTGCACAATGATGACAATGAGTAACGACGAGTACGTGAGCCCCGCGAATCGGGAAAGCACCGAAGTGAAAGAATCCTCACCCAAGAAGCTTCCTATCAACGATTGTCAACGCAATGCATAGCAAGCCTTGCTGGGTGCATCCAGACCAGACTACTGAGAACTGACTTTCAGCCAGCTTGATGGTTGAGGAAGAATCACGCTAGAACTCAGGCAGATCATAGACGCTTAGAGCACGATCAGCGACTCCCCGTCCTTCTCACTCACGACAAGCAACCTCGATGCCAGGCCTCGAGATTCTGGAGGTGCGAGGGTGGGTATGCTGGGTCCAAACAACTAGAAGCTGACAGCTTCTGAGTGGAGAGATAGCAGCTCAACATCGAGCCTCACACAGCTGCAGGTGACCTGGACGCAGGACTTGGGTCAAGGGCTGAGGCCGGAAGATCAGGGATGGATGGGCTCAGAAAAGGGTTTTCCGGAAAGCTGCGCCCAAGCCATGGTCAAAACATTGTCGCGTGCATCATTCCATTTTTAAAGTTTGGATTGTCAGTCGTCGCGATTTGCTTGGGCAGTTTCTCTCGCACTTCCCGGGAAGCCTTGCGTTGGAAAAGCAAAGCTTTACTGAATGCTCAGCTCTGAGCAGGCTCGTCAACAGAGGGCCCGTGGACGCTGTGAAGCGCGAGGCCGCTTGCAGATCTGGCGCTTGAAACCCAAACATCGAAGTCTTGGAAGCTGTGGCCTCGAAAGCGGAAGTTTCACCAGCGCTGTTCAGCAAAGATGGCTGAGACGCTGCGACCTTGGTATCCTTGGTGACTTACTGGCATGCGACACCTTTGCATTCTCGTGTTTGGGGTTACGGTATGAATGCAGCTGTATCAATACAGGGTGCCATGCAGCCGGAATGAAACCAGCCGAGCTGGAAATTGAGGGGCTCTTCTTTTGTTTTCTTAGGACTTCAGATCCCCTGTATGAAAGCGCGCGCTGTGTAAACTTGTACTACATGATTGAATTCGCTGCGGCTTCGAAGGCAGGTACCTCCCGCAATCCAGAAGTTCTAGAACATTCTCGTCTTCTCGTATCATAGGGGGATTCCTTTTTCTAAGGCTGCAAGTTGATCGTTTCAAGTCAGCGGCTGCATGACATCAGCTGCTACACAGTGTCTAACGGCTTGTTGCAATACATACTCTGTGTGTGTGCCTGTCATGACAACCCCCCCTCCTCTTGCGGGCAGCACGAAAGCCTTCCTGATCAGGCCGTAGTGCTCCACCACCGCGATAGAGAATCAGCTCCCTGGCAAGCCATGTTGGAGTGGGTGACGACCCTGCAAATCCCCTCGCCAGCTTGCAAGCAGGTCCGATCCATTCACGTCTCCCTAGACAGCAACGGGTTTTGAGTTCATCAGGGCTGGTCTCAAGCTCCAAGACCCCAGATGCAACCCCTGTGTTCCAGCCCCCCGGATTCGTGAGCTTTCGGGTTGCTGGGCTGCTGTGCTTCCAGAGCCAGGGACTGCCTGGTGTTAGGAAACCATTTGGAAAAGCTGTGCAGTCCAAGGCAAGAGTTGCATTGTCCGCCAAAAAGGGCCGTTATCTTCGTGAGCAACTTTCCACAAGCAGTGATGCAAATCTTCCAGGTCTCGGCCTGCTCTCTGGTATCGAAGCCCTCATATGCTCGCGTGCAGTCTCGGCCTTGCCAACTGAGGTTGAGTGGAAGATTTCAAACATCCGACGGCGCATACAGGAGGCAGCTAAGCGCCCCATGTAGCAGGTCAGAAGTAGCATTCGTAGCTTCTTGTTATGACCTTTGACGGAGCAAGAATTCTTCGCTTGAAGGATTCGGAATCTTAGCCGTGACCACAACCGATAAGAGCCATCCTGCATTGCTGGATACTGGACCCTTCCTACCCAGTGCAAGTTACGAAGCCCACGGATGCCAAGCCCACAAACGCCAAATCCTTGTCCAGTTGCCCATGGGCGCCTGCATGTGCAGCCCTCTCTTCTCCGCTGCCGGGGTGCGGGACATGCACCTGGAGTCTACCTGGCTGCGATTGGGGTATCCGGGTTAAGCAGTCCACACTTGCACGCCGAATTGGTGGGCTGGCCGCGGAACTGCGAATAAGCAATGCCGCCTTGTCCCATCATCAACGCGTTTCAGCGTTCTCCGAGACCTCAAGACGGAGCTACTTGTACGGGTCGCCCACGACACCGCTCACACCCTGGTGGCTTCGTTGAAATAATATTTGCTGAGGGCTTAGGTTGCGGTCCCTTTCAACGCAGGTTAAGCTAGCGAACCCAGCATCAAGACCAGACCACAAAAGCACTGCATGCGCAAACGCGAGCCACACCAGCGATATGCAACTGCTGACGACACGGTACCGTGGGTGCTGTGGCCATTGCGCATTCCCTGTGATGCGGGTGCAACTATACAGATATTACCAAGCTCAGACGGGTGAAAACAACTCAAATGGCTGCGCCGGCACATGCCAGGTTCTATCCGAACGGCCTGGAGGGGAGCAAAGAAGGGTATTGTGGCTTCTATGTGAGGCGGGGTCGGACGCCAAGAAGGTACATACTATGATGCAAGTAGGGATTTCAGCAGCCAGTGTCATGCCATCAGATTGTATCATATTCAATCGATGCCCGAAGCAGGAGCCAGAGTTCTTCTTACCCCGCCCGGATGTTTCTCAGGGCTTACAGGCGCAAGTCACAGTCAGCCTAATCCTGCCAGCATATGACAACCTGTAGACAGGTGTCCTACTGGCGAGTATACGCTCAACATCACTCTCTTTGTCGGCACCGCAAGACGGGTTCAAACCTTGGTCATTGAGATTTGCTTCCGATTGCTGCCGTCGCTGACCCGCAGGCGCTTATGAGCAGTGTTGCGGTTGAGAATTACTGAAACCCCGGCCTTCAAACAGGAATCTGCTGGTCCGGCAGCCCCAAGCAACACCAAAGGCTTATTGGATGTTCCGTGTTGGGGTTCGACGTGATGCCAGTGCTCTGGTAATTGCACTTATGATGATAGATTCATCGCTGTGATCATTTCGACACCGTTAGCTATGATGTCATCATGATGCTCCTGATAGGCAGACGGCCCAGAGATCTCTTCAAAAGCCCTGGACTCCTTTCTTGGCAGCCAGGGAGGGAGGGATAGGGCTTCCGTTCACTCAGGGCCCCAGCAAGACGGAATTCAACGGCAATGCTGCCAAAGGTTTGCCAGGGCCTTGGGAGCCCCGAGCCCTCCGACAGCCAATCGCCCGAAGTGTCACTCTGATTGGCGAACGCATTGTGAATTAAATGCCTTCAGGCTTAAGGTTCCATCTATGCAGCCTGGGCGAGAACCGTGCGTACTTCAACCCGCAAATTACGAAAGTTTGCTATCCACCATGAAGAAGTTCATGCTGGGACTTCCGAGTCTAGACCGCCCAGAGGCCCGGCAAGAGGTCGGACTCTGCGAACTCTCGCACCCCGCACTTCCCTAAATTCTGGGTCTTGGTTTTGAAACGATCTGAAGAAATTTGCACACATTCTCCTGAGCGAACTTTCATTCCGAACCCAAGACCGTTCCAGACCTTTCGGCTGTTTTTGAGTCAGTTTCGCTGGGTCTGACCAGGGCATAGTTCATCAACGACTGGTGCAACTCGCGCTCGGCCTCACATGGAGGGGGAATGGTGGTCGTGCCAGATGGCGCTAGAGCATAAGCCTTTTGTTGACTGGGAGTCGGTTGATGCTGAGACGACTTTAAATGTGTCTTGAGGTGCGAAGTGAAGACTATCCTGGCTTGCATGTTCGACCATAAGAAACCAGCGGCCGCTTCGGCGAAGTTCGGCGCATTTCTCGTTCTCTTCCCTTGCCAGTAACACTCGACATCCATGGACACCACCAAGTCCCCAGAGTCATCTGGAGCCCCCTTGGCTGGGCCAAGCATCCGAAACTTTGAGCCCGTTCGTTCCCAGGCCCGAGTTCTGCCGACTCGACGAGCAGCTGGTGGACGGGGAGGCTGGCAGAGTCTTCGTCCCGACACTACGTGAGTCCTTTAGATTTGCACATGCACTCATAAAAGCTTTCGTGCGTGATCGGAAAGCGTAAGGGTGCCACAAGCCGATGAACCCTTTGTGCATGAGATTTTGCATGCCCACCTCCAGGAAGACCTCATTGCTGGCATTGTCCTCCAGAACCCATTGCAGGACGGTGCAGCGTAGCCACTCAAACCCCGAAAACCCCGTGATTCCTGACATTCACACAGCGTGGGCCATGTTGAACATCCTCTCCTGGCCAGCTGAGAGAAGACAGATTCTAACCACAACTTCGAGCTTGAACCCTTGCCAGGAGCAGGAGGAAGACGAGCGAACTTTGTACCTGTGACCTGGTGGGTTGGGGAAAAAGAAGATGTGCCCGTAGCATCTGCAGTCTGGGAGTCGGTAACCGCTAGCGCGAGAGAGCCCGCCTGGTCGAGCTTGCCAGAAGAAGTCATCGAACTCAAAAGAGCTGGCGCAGCACTCAAAGCCTAACCGTTCTAATCGGAAGTTTCATTTGCATCATGTTTGTTTGTCACCTGAGCTGCCAACACAAAAAGGTTACGGTTAAGTGAGTCCGTAGACCCGGGCCAATGTGCAAAACTATGCCTTTGCGGCAATCTTCGTGGTAGTAGCTTCCAAGTGGGCAATAAAATCCTGACAAGATTTGGACTTATCATTAAGGGTGTTGTTGTTTCGAGGGGTTGCGTCTGGATGAGTCTACGCGCCAGACCTGCAGCTTGCCAGCAGGTGTTCTGATTCTGCATTCACATCGAAGTCGCCTTCCAATGCAAACCAAGATAAGGCTTCAACGCTTCAACCTGGCATCCACCACACGGCCCACCGATGTGTTTGGCCGCACCGAGTCTTTCAATCATGGCGAGTGCAAGACGCCAAGCTCCCTAAGCCATGCTGCGCTCTTGGCATCTTTGGCTGCCGCTAGCGCCACTAGCGTGCAGCCAAGGCCGGGCTCTCCTTGATTTTTGGAGGATGCACCCCGGTTTGTCTTCGGTGCAAGCCGCATCATGTCCTTAGCGTCAGAAGTGCTCTGCTGTGCTTTGGCGGCCATTTTGGAGGTGCTGTGCAATGGCTCAATTGCCTTGGGCCGCCCTTCAAGCCTGCCTGGGCATCATTGCAGGCCCGGAAGGGCGAAGGCGGCTTTCAAACTGTTGTTCCGGGTGCAGGACCTTGAGCCTGCAACCTGCAGCTGTCACTTTTAATGGCATGCGGAATGGCATCGGACCACTTCTGGAGTTGTTTGAGATCGATCCTTCGGTCTTGCGATGCAAGTTTACTCCCGTTCCTGAAGCCAAGCGTTGTACTCGTTGAAGTTCGGAATGTCACTGGTGGCAGTCATAAGGTAGCACTAGCAGAAGCGGCATTTAAGTATGCTGCTGTTTCTCCTGTTGCCACTGGTCAAGGCGACACTCCTGGAGCTGCTGCAGCGCCAGCCAGATCTGCTGATGACAGCGACTCAGGGACTGCGTTCCGGGCTTGTCTCGAGCACCTGTGGCAGAGCGCCTGCTGTGGTCTGATACGGCTTGAAGAACTGTCAGCGCCTAGTTATGGTTGCCTTGCCCTCAGGATCGGGCGGCCGCTGCCGCCTGCAGTCGTAGTGCTGGTGGAGGTGGGGCTTCCTGTCAATGCGGTTCAGGCTTGTGTTGCCCAAGAACGGCATGCGCTTCGGATCAAAAGTATTCCATGCCTGCCACCCCGATGTGCTTCTTTATTGGAGCACTTGGTCGCCACGGAATATGAAACCCAGAATGGTAGTCCTGTGGCGCACACGGCGTAAGCCCTCAGCCCGGTGATGCAACAGAGCCTTGGCAGGAGTTGGAACCAATGTGCCAGGCACGCAAGGACAGCCTTCTTTGAGGTCGATGCTGGCTGGTCCGTTTTTGTGCGTGCTGTGGATCGCCACGGCCTGTTCATGAACCCCAAGCCTGCACAAGCCTTGTCGAGCCTACTTTGCGCTTTCCTTCCCTAGCCCGCAACCTGCGAAACCCACAACCTGAGCCTTGAACAATCCCGATTACCTATTATTACACAGGGTTGCCCAACGCCTCTGCACCCCGGAAGCACACCCCAAAAACCCCCATTCTTTCGTTCGCTGTTTGCCAAACAGCTATCCCATGCTATCCCGGATGGAACGATGTGAAGCGAAATTCTCAATAAATGCTTCACGAGGACGTAGCAGCACTGCTGGCCTGGACAGGTGGGACCTTGTCACGGGCTTTAGTTTTGGGGGGGCGCTTGTCTGGATTTGAGATGCGTGGAGTCATGCTTTTGGGTGGTTTCTGGATAAACCGGTTGCCTACTCGCGCATGTGGGTTTAAGATGCTATGCCGAGTGACTGAAGTGTCCCGATTTAGTTTTGTGTGTTTGAGCTCAGTTCAGGGTGTGTTGAGAGGTGTATGGTCGACTCGATTCCTTCATAGACATTCACGAAGCTCAGATATCCCAAGGCCAAAATGCATTCTCCAATCACGTCGCTGAGTATTAGGCGAGAAGCCCGAGACGGACTACGAGGCACGGTCTCGCACCTGCGTCGATGTTGGAACTTGCAGAGCTTCGGGCTTACCGCTGCTGGATTATGGCATTCGTTTAAGGTTTATTGCTGGTGTTGGCTGGTGACCCACATTTGTGGATGCAAGTCGTCTTCGGAATTCCAGTTTCTTGAAGCGTTTATTCACGTATTTCGATGTCGACTCACGTTGATCAGCTGATGCCATCAACCGTTGACAACTCTTCTGCAGGCCATGGGTTCCCTTCGCTGGTGGATCAACGCCTCCTATGAGATAGAGGAAGTCGAAGGCCCTGAGACGACTGTGACTACTGCACGCAGGCACAGGATCTAGTCTTTCTGTAAAGTTCGCTGGCGATTGATATGGTCAGGACAAAAACAAACTTGATGTTGGTGTCTTTAGACATCTGCATGTCAGGGTGGAGAATAGTTGTAGGAACAACGTAAGCATCGCGGGGCATGCAGCTCACGGATGTTTCGTCGGTTTCCGTTGTCAGGCTAAGTCCGCTGCCTTAATACGCCATGCTTGACCCGGATTTCCAGAGAGGTGATCCGGGGCAGTTGATGCAAACTGACGACGTTTCTTAGGGCAAACCCGCCTGGCCCTTGGGCATGTATCGTTTTCTGCAACTGCAAGCATTGGGTCGCAGACTCAATCATGCCAGGCAATGGATTTTGCCTCTACGGCTGCGTCACCGTGCTTTTCCTCCTGGCACCTTTGCCCATGATTCATTATCTCTGTTGTACCTGCTTAAGAGTTTCTATTAGCAAAGCGGAGATCATCGCCACAACCCGCGAGGTGGTGGCAAGTGTAGTGATTAGCTAGTTGCAACCCTCAGTACAGGCAGGCCTGTGAGCTGTGCACGGCCCATGCTTATACTGGTCCACTAAGCTTAAGCTATCTTAAGCTCGAAAGAACCGACCACGCCGCACCTGGCTTGTCAGAAGTTCATGGCTTTAAGCAGATGCCGGCAGAATTGATCCTGAAGCCAACCTGCCGACGGCTGCAGGCATTCAACGAGTTGTCCTGGCTGCTCATCTCGCCAGAAGAACCTTCGGTGGCCACAGCTGAAAAGAGCATGCAGGACCTCCCTGGCTCGAAAGAGCCCTCGATTGAGCTCCCAATGCCAGCTCAACTAGAGCTTCATGCTGCCTCTACAAAGAATGCCACTGTAGGACGAGTTTTAAGCAGAGTTGTGTAGATCCGGAGCACGCGTCTGAACCCTTCAACCTCAGCCCCTGTGACACGCAGTACATCTTCATGTCTCTCCATCTTTCGCGCTCGCTTCTTGGCGACCACTCCACGCTGGATCTCCTCTCGAGCAGCGCGGCATGATCTTACTTAAGCTGTTTGGGTTTTGGGTTTTGGCAGCTTTGCGATCTGGGTTCTGCATGCTCCAGGCTCCAGGGTTCTTGCAGGTTTAAGGTTGTTGACAAAGAAATGATTTAAGCAAGGCGGGGTTGCGGTCGGAAATACGTTAGCACATCACCTGCGACCATGTGTGCCGTGCTGATAGTAATTCGTCGAGACATTATGTATGCATGTACGTAAAACACGTGCATATCCACTTACCCGTCGCCTACCTATATCCAATTTATATATTCATAAAATAAATAAGCAAACAAACAAATATAAATAAATAAATAAATAAATATATATATATGCACACATACATATAAACATGTATACATATATGTATTTATCAGTTGTATGTATAGATGGACAGATACAGTGCGAAGGTGTGTGCGTATGCATATACTTGTATTTGCTTTGCAGGTTCTTTCTGGTCATATGTCATACACTGCAGCTGTGATACCCCACAATTCACAAACCTCCCTGGACATGAGGGTGGCTGAAGCGGTGGACCTCCAACATTAGATCGTTCCCTCTAGACGATCGCAAACACGACGACGATGCACAGCATGCTTTCGCCTTGAGCAATGTGCGGTTGAAAAGAAGCCCCTGAGAGAATCCTAGCTCCTCGAGTCGGGTTAAGTCATTTCGCAACAGTGCCTGTTGCTCAGAACGGTGTTGTGTCGAAGCCTTAATGCTGTCGTCGTAGCAGCCCGGCAGTGGAGACAACAGCCACAAGAGTGACAGGAGGCGTCGCTGACACGAGTCTAAGGCAAACCACAACAAGACAACGGAATATAGGTGCCCTGAGCGCGCTGCATCAAAAGGTAGTGCGTGGCCACCGCGTCTCCCGAACTGGACAATGGAGGTCTTTGAGAGGGCCGAGGCGCGAGCTGTTTGCTCTGAAGACTCGACCCTCCATTCGGGCCTTGCTTTGGGGTTCAGGGTTGACGGTGGATCAGAGCATCGTTCTTCTATGAGTCAGATATGGTATGCCCTTTGCAGACGGTGCGCTGCCACATTGTCACCATCACCACAAATGTTGCCTCGTCGTTAGTTTCCTCATGCCCGTTGCCGTTGTGATTCTCAATGTTTGTTCATGGTGTTCGCATGTCTAGGGCCATGTCGCAGCGTGACTTTGAGGCTTCATCGGTCACCTGCTTCTGGTTTAAGTCTGAGACTGGGTGGGAAGAGGAGGGGTCCATTGCGAGGCGACTTGATTGGTCCAGGTCAAGATCAGAATCGTGTGAGCTCGCGTGACGGACAACGTTACAGGTTCAACTCGGAGCACCTGTAGTGTGAAAAAGCACATTCCATTCGGTTCAAATTTGTCTTCCAGAGCTTTAGTGGCTCTCACATCTGCTGCAGGGCTTGGTGATTCAGTTCAGGTGGTGGCATGGCAATCTTGGGCTTTTGCGTACACCGCATCGAGTCTCTCTCTCTCTCTCTCTCTCTCTGTCTGTCTGCGCGCTGGAATCGGACAGGTACTGATTGGAGGCTGGACCGGTGTGTTGGCTGCTATCGGGATGAACTGGTGCCATAATCATAGTCGAGGCTTCGCAGAAAAAGCCATGCCGCTTGCTACGGAGTGTAATAACTGTCCAATCCATGCCACAGTACACGTCCGAGTGTCGACATAAGCCTCTGTGCATGGAGGTTCGAAGCCGGTTCAAGAGACAGGGCCTCAGAGCGAAGTGCGCAGCCATAGGGTCGGTGATGCCGGAGCTCGGATGTGCTCATGCATGCACCCTCAGTACACCAAACAATGATCTTTGTCTTCATTCACCTCGCCTTTTTCTACGTCTTCACATGGTGCAAGCCTGTGCAATATTGCTCTGCCAGAGAGAAGCTAACCTCAACATATTACCACCGCGAATCGTTGCAGTAAGAACTGCTTCCACACGGCTAGGACGCTGGTGCACAAAGGTCGCCTCACGAAAGCTCTGCGCTGTCGCTAGCGCGGCGGTGGCAGCCCTGTGACCCCCTGCGGCAGGTGCGACAGCATGCAGACCTAATCACGCAGGACTTTGCTGAATAAGAAGGCTCTAGTTACTCGTAGGACGGCAGTGGGCTCAGACTCATGAGCGTTCAGGCCGCCAAGCGGAATTCACCTAAGCTGCATTGACAGCATGGTGTGGAAAGCATTCATGTAGCGGCCCGAGGATGCCAGAATTTCGAGGAGCTCATTGCCCCGAAAGCTAACACCATTTCGCGTAAAAGTCCAAGCATATCCTAGCACCGAGAGGAACTGGTGCTGCTTGGACTAGACCCTCACGATCCTCACACCACCATACAGCTTTCAAACAGCGAATATTAGTTATTAACACTTAGCAGCCCAAGCCTTACATTTCCAAGAGCAATTCCGAAAGCATTCCTGACCACGTGCTAAACTGCGCACCACAAGGGGCGAGCACGGTTGGCACCCCGGCACTGCGACGGGAGCACGATGTCAATCTCCTATTACGCCAAGTTCCGAAACCCCTCCGTACGGCAGACGAGACCGGCGCTGTGGTGGGAGCTCAGTTCATCAAGTTCGGGAGCACCCAGGTCCAAGGAATTGGATTTTGTAATGAAGTCAGCATGCTCGGCTGACGCGGCTTTGGAAAGAACGTGACGTTATAGGCGTAACTGGCGTCCAAATGCCTGGGGTTATCGGTCACCCTGACAGACTGAAGATATCCATAGTGTTACCACCATGTTTGGGCAGCCAGGAACCCACATTTAGGGTGGCGGAAGTGCCGCATGAGTCCAATGTGGATTCCAGCAAGCTGAATTGTCAGACCCTTATGTTTATCTCGTCGTTCGGGCCTCATCATGTTGACTTACGAGTGCAGATGCGCTGGGCTGAGGCAACACAAGAACCGGGGGGGATAAGTTCAGAGGTCTTGACTTCTTGACAAGACATCGGGGCACCAAAGCGAAAGAATCGAAAAGCCAGATCATCCATGGACTAATCCCTGGAGGCCCTCAACTCATAGCGTCAACCCTGGTTCTTGGACCTCGTGGGATCCTTTCTGAGTCTGAGTCCATTCCGCGTGTCGGCTGCGCAGGTGTGCAGTGCCCCAAGACCAGAAGGAGGCAAGTGCCGATGTCCGACTTTTCGATCGAAGCCTCTAAGACAGTTAAGACACTGAGACGGCCGAGTCTACATCTTAGTTGAATCGAAACAAGGATTGACAACGAAGCAAGATGCAGTCAGATGCAGCCATTCTGTTGCATTCCTCTATGCATATCTATGAGTACATATGCGACTGTGGATGTATAGCGGATACTCGTAGATGCCAGTCGGACAATGCCATTCAAGAGAATGACAGGGCGCGAGTTGATGGACTCCCACAGCGGCCGCAAAGATGAAGCCTTGGTCATGCTGTTGGTTTTGCTGACTCCTTTGCTGGGTGCTCACATCTTGCAACGGTGCAAGGCAGTGCAAGGCAGTGCAAGGGCATGCCAGGTCGGGGAGCATGCCCCGTTCGAGAACACGGCCGGCAACCCAGAAACTACCTGCGGCTACAAGTGTTGCAGAGAGACAGAACGACAGATGCATCCCAGTTCCCTCAACAGTCTGCATGGCATCCCCGTGCATGCCAAACAAGCCAGAATACCAAGGTTTGGCAGTGCATCGAGTCGGCTTCCATCGCTTGGAGCTCAGGAACAGTCTTCTAGAATCTAGGCCCGCGCTGTGCAATTGGACGCTGTGGTGCTGCAGCACTTCGGCTGAGCTCCTAGATCCGCTGGACTCAGGAATGAAGCGTGAAGATTTCGGAAATATCTGAGCATAATTAATTCGTCTACGCTCGGTCGAGACTCCCCGTTTCCATGCTTCTAGGTGGAAGTGCCGAAGTAGCCCGCGCTATAGTCTCCATTCCAGATGTGGCGAGACTCCTCCCATGAAAATACGGTAGTTCTGTACTTTGCTTCAGTAGGCTATTTCAAGCCAGGGGTTTAGGTTGATGGTTTGTTGCAGTATGTCTCGATGCATGAATTGGGGGCAAGAGCATCTGAGGCCTTGAGTGTTCCCGTTCGGCCCATCTTCGCGGGTGCCTACTACGGCTGCAGAGGACTGTGAGCCAAGACAGCTACGGGCCAGGATGAAACTGAAACTCTAACGTAGAGATTTTTTTCAGCTGTTCACATAGCATGATGGTCAAAGTTTCTGATGAGCGATGCACTTGCTGCGTCCCTCAGCTTTGGATGTATGTAAGTGCCGGCCAGCCCGGGGCCAGCCCGGATGTGGCAAGCTTCTCTCATCCTCTCTCAGGCTGTGGTGCAGCGAGTTGAAAAAACGCGTGTCGCAAAAAATCAGAAGCTTTGTCCTTCGCAAGGACTTCCCAGTGCCTGTGCACCGGACTCGACGAAAGACTGGTTTGGTTCGTGGATGCGGAGGTGCCCGACTTTCCTTCGAGGGCCCATACCATTGTAAAGCCTTAATCCCTCAAAGGTCTACTCCAATGCACGTGCAGCTGTGCAGCTGGTTGCTGCAGTTTCTGTTCGCAGGAGAGTCGCTACACCGAAATCTCGGATGCCCAAGGGTATCAGAGCATAAACCATAAATAGAACGAGTCTTCCAGGTGGCCGAATCAGAGCGAGTCTGCATTGGAGGCACGGCTGGGTTGCTGCGATGTTGAGGCATTGTTGAATGATTGAGTGCAGTCCGACTTCTAGCACACTTTTGCGAGAAAGGATAGGGTAGGGTTACTGGATCCTTTCGGAAGCCTAAGTCCCACTGGTCATCCAAGCCTTCCCACGCCGGCTCAGAACCCTCCACTGTCAGGGGGTGCAGACCGAAGCAGATGGGCTCTTCGAGGCAGTGATAACCGGCATTTTTGACTGCTGCCTGTGTCGATGGTGTTCGACGGCTATGTTCTGTCTGTGTCTGATGCTAGCCTGGACGTCGTCATTTCATGGCTTCGGCGTTTACTTTGCAGGTTGGAAAGGCTACAGGTGGAATTTCACCTTGCTTTTGTGGCCAAAGATCCCCAAATACTTGTCAGCTTCAGAGGAGCATTGATTTTGCCCAAGTCGCCGAATTCCTGAGCCCTGAAAGCCCTTGACCCTGTGACCTGAAGTATAAGCCCCAAACCTGTTTCTCATAGGAGCCGGTTGCACTGAACGAGAGTCACATCGCCTTCCCGACCGCACCCAAAGGAAGATCCTACTAGTGCAGCCCGGTTTGGAAATAATTCCGATGTGGGATCATGGTCAAGGGCGCCACTGCCCCGATGGCCGAATCCCTTTGGTAACCCGAGCTCTGATATCCCAGAGGCCATCAAGAGACATCCGGATCCGGAGGCTCAGCGACCATGCAATGCTCTGTGATCTGTTGTATGCTCAGTGAAGGTTGAAGGTTCGCGGAGCCCTTTGCAGGCAGAGGGATGGACATCACATGTTCCCACCGAAGGCTGCCCGCCCGGATATCCTCTTCTGTGGGGACACGGTGCTGCAGCTTGGCATGATTGGTGGAAATCTTTTCATGTTGAACTCTGTTCAGGACGCCCAGGCCGCATCACATCGACCTTCTTCCCAGCATTTTTATCTCCAACCGATAGACGATGTACAAGGCCCTCAACCCGGCAACCCGGAACCCTGAATCCTGTCAAGGTTCTGTTGGCTCCTGCGCCGGCGAAGTCTGCTGGCCCGGCATGCCGGTTTCCACGAACTCCCCGCGCACGATTCTCATGAATCGGAATCGGGGCTGGACGTTCTGGGGTTCAGTTAGTCGTTGGGTTTGGAGATCCTTCACCGTTTATCCCGGCTTTGGGTCTAAGCAATTGACGGTTGGGTCGGTTTTGGTTCAGCATCACGGGATAGGTAAAAAGTGCTCTGTTCAGCATCGTGGGTGCGGGCACTTCCGAAACTCGGCGACGAAGCTTTGGGGCTTCCTCGCCGCTCGCGACCTTTCGAAGCTCTGATAGCTCGGAGCATGCCCGCGACAACCTTCTCACGTATATGCCCTGTAACTTATAAGTTCATCAATGCCTGCATCCCTGTCCGGTTCGTCGCGTTGGCAGTGCAGAACTTCTTTTGCGCATCCCCGTGTAGAAAGAGGATGAACATCGATTGTTTAGCAATACGCGAGGAAAGAGTGTCATTCCGACGAAGGTACCGCGTGCTAGCTGCTAGTACTATAGCCAATAGCTAGAGCCCTGTATTTACAACCGCACCCGTTAGAAAGCCCAGCAGCTCGAAAGGGCAAATGTCCTTCACACGCACAAGCTTTCGTGTCAACTCCGAGGCTCCATGTCTATGGCATGGTCTTCCTGCAGTATGTTCCGCCGATGTGGAGACGAGAAATGCTGGAGGCAGTGCCTCTTGCGAGCTGTCCTGCGATCCTGCATGCAAGGATCGTGGAAAATCGTGGTTTTGCGTTTTCAGGCCGTGTGTCCAAGGGAGTGTTTGGGATTCCCCAGGAATTTTGAACTGACTTGGGCGGTTCGGGTTGAGGCGGACTTGAACGAGAAGCCGTGCTTGAAGACCTGCTTCAGCTTTTGGAGCCTGAACCTGAACTCTGCAGGATTTCGCGAATTGGTGGCTCCTTGAACGCAGCCCCGCCCGCGAGCCGGCAGGTGTCCAGATCGAGGCGTCGTGGTTGGATCTTGAGGTTATGGACTTGGCAGGCGCTTTCGGAAAATTAGTCAATCGCGGCATCGCAGTTGCATTACTGGCTACTTACAAGTGCTATCACAGCAAAGAGCGGTGGTCTTTGCTTCAAGAGCTTCGGGCATGTAGCATCAGTCGAGCTTGCAACTCGACTCCTTAAGTCTTAGTCCAGAACCCTCCTGACAAGCCTCTGAGGCATTGGGCCTGCAGCTCCAGTGGCAGATGGGCATCGCCCTACCTTTTGTGCCCAGCCGCTCTCATGCAGCTCAAGGCATGTAACTGCAGGCTTCTGTTCAGCTTTTGTTTCATCTCATCTTCTCTGCAATACTTCTGTGATGAGATCGGGATAGGCACCCGACGGCTCTGTAAGGATTCTGGATTTTTGCCGTTCGCGCGTGTGTGCCTGTGCCGTCAGTCTTGCATAGGCCATGAGTGACAGAAGGGACCGCCTCCATCAGAGGTTTTCTAGACTTTGGACTCACAGCATCGATGCCGAGGCACAGGCACATCGGATTCCGCCGGAGTTCTCTACCATGCTCCCCGGCCAGGCCTGCTGCGTATCGGTCTGGTGATAGTACTGGCCCTGGCATTAGTACTAGAACCATTGCCATGCTCACAATCGTGAATGGTCTTCTTCTTCGATGTCTCTGAGGCAGCTTCGTGCTAACATGGATAGACACGTGTGGTCCTCTTGCTCTTCCCACGGTCGCTATTCGACGACCACTACTCCGTCTTTGTTTGTTCCTTTCTTTTTCATGATGATGACTGTGATCGAGATGATGGTGGTGGTGGTGGTGGTGGTGGTTGTGGGAGAGATGACGTTCTTCATCCCGGTACACGCGCCTTCCAGGAGAAGGGCGCTCTGTCCTGGTTCTGAAGCATCTCGGATTATATCACCTGCACGGTCCTAGGATCTAGGAGGACTTGTCAGGCTCTAGGGCTTGGGGCGTGACGGTTTCATGGGGCTCGGCGAATGGCGCCGAAGTCGGAAATTAGTTATTGCTGTGCCGTCCTGAACATCTGGCAACCCAAAACTGCAAAGTCTGAGAAGTTTTGAGGGCAGGCATGGCAGACCACACATCCCGAGGAGTGCCTTCTATGCACTAGCTCCGGGTAAAGTCTTTGGCGTGGCACCTTGGACGCAACAGCGGTGCAGCACCGCTGCAGTACAAGCCCCGAAATTAATACCGAAGTACCGCTGGAAGCAAAAGGACCCAGAAAACACGAGGCCTGCTGCAATCTTCTCCCAAGCCCTTGCTAAGATCACTTCAATTGAACCCGATAAGACAGTGAACATGCGTATCTTTGCGCGCAGTGAAGACTGTATGATGTTGCAGCTTTTGTTGATAGCAGGGCTGGAGTGGGGAAGCGTAATCTTTACAAGGTACTGCAGCGACTCTCTCGCGAGAGCAGGCTATCCTGGAACCATTGGGCTTTCGAAGGTGCTCTGCTGGCGAGAGTTGCATGTTGGGGGGGATCTGGAAGTGTTGCTTGCGCAGGATCTTGGGATAAGATTTTTCGTGCGGAAATCGGTGGGGTGGGCATGTTCTTGATAGCACGGCGGCATCCATAAATTCGTCAGTGGACCTAGGACCTAGGTGAAAGCTGCCTCAGCAGTTCAGAGACGATACAGAGGCTAGTGAATGCGTGCAAAACTTGTGCAAGTTAGGCCTGCAATGGTTACTCCTGGTCAATCAGTGCTGTGAGGCAAGCGGAACAGCTTCCTGAACTTCGAGGAGATGGCATCGCATTCCTGTGCCGTGTGCCTCCGACGGATTTAAGTCGGCTCGGAGCTGCGAGAGTTCAGACGTTTGCTCCGTTGACTGCAGATGTTTGCTTGTCAGAAGCAGGGCGAGCACAGAACAGCATCGTCTGTTTGAAACCCCCTTTTTGCGCCCCAAGAGTCAAAGCTGTCACCCCGATATCCAAAGCATCACGAAGTGCGGCTAACACCACGTCAAACTGCCACGGTCCTCGGATTTCCCACACTTTCGACCCTACACCCTGGATGCATGGCAGAAAACACGAAGTTCCAAGCAGGTACGTCGCCCCGGAGTTTTCCCAGCTTTTGCTTCGCGACCCTGGGCTGCAAGTCAGGCCCAAGGCACAAGGCTCAGTTCGTACAAGGCTGATCGGAACAGGCCGCAGCCGCCGCAGCCTCGAAGAGTTTGTGGCGAGGGGCGGACATAAAGAACCCCCCGCGACAGCCTACCCTTTACCTGTGTGTAGCCCTGTCCTAGACCCTGTCCGCCCCTGTTACAGGCCCTGTCACAGGCCCTGTCTACCCCTGTCATAGGCCTGTCCGTAGGCCCTGTCCACCCCCTTCACAGGTCCTATGCGCAGGCCCTGTCCACTTCTGTCACAGGCCCTGTGGTGGGCCCTATCCTGACCTGTCACAGGCCCTGTCACAGGCCCTGTCGACCCCCATGATGGGCCCTGTCATAGGCCCTGTCAACCCCTGTCATAGGCCCTGTCGACAGGCCCTGTGGAGCCCTGTCATAGGCCCTGTCGTAGGCCCTGTCCACCCCTGCCAGAGGCCCTGCCCACAGGCCCCGCCAACCCCTGTCACAGGCCCTGTCCGTAGGCCCTGTCCACCCCTGTCACAGGCCCTGTCCGTAGGCCCTGTCCATCCCTGTCATAGGCCCTGTCGGTGTCGAGCATGTGGCCCCCACTAAAAACCACATGTCAAGATGTGGCCCCCACTGAAAACCGCCTGGCAAGATGTGGCCCCCACTAAA